GAACCTTAAGGGAGTTATGCGACAGTAGTGAGTGGTGTGTGAGTTTATTATTATTATTATTATTATTATTATTATTATTAACAACTGCTCTCTCCGAAATGCTTCTTTCACTGTTTTTATCTCCAATGCCATTTATCTTCTCTGCCAGGATAGGGGGAGAGTGGATGCTGATGTGAATGTCTGCTTGAGCTTGCATAGTGTGTGTGAGACCCTGGGAAGTGCATGATCTCAGTGCCCTGCTTGACCTTGGAATGTAACAATTAGTTTGCAGGTGTGAGGCAGCCCTAAGGGTAGGCCTAGAGCTTTGGTGGGCTGATTGCAAACCTTGATTGGGTGGTTGGCATAGGTGGGCTTGTCCTGCTTTTCATATAGGGTTGGACGGGGCATCCGGTGGTCAGTTCTGATACAGAATCTGTCTATGCTTGGAATCTCTTTATCTCCAAATAAACAAATCTTGCTGCTACAAGAGTGCTGCAAGAGTGACTGAGTCCAGGACTTGACATAGTATCAGAACTGCCTTTTCCCCTCGACCCGGCACACCAGCGACGTGATGAGTGCTGGATGCAAGGAGACTGAACCAGAGACCCTCACGAAGTCACCTGATGGCAAGGAGGGTACCATGCCACCTGAATGGGAACCATGGGGGCAAGACGGGAAGCCAAACGGTCAATGGGCAGAGATAGGATGGTGGGATGCCCCAGACTGGGCAATCCCCTCCCTTGGAACTACAGGAGTATGGTGGCAGCAGGTGGATGAGGATTGGCATCGGGTCTCAGTTGTGTTCCATGATGACCCCAAGTGCCTGAAGGCCATGAAACATTGGCTGGAGGAAGCTGACATAGAGCTCGTCTAGCAGGAGCTGAAGACTGAAATGGCAGATCTGTGCAGAGACACCCAGGCTGCCCTGGAGGGCCTGAGCAATGCCATTCACCATATCCTGCAGCAAGAGCTCTGGGACTTGGGACTGCAAGGGGGAAGGAGCTGGAGCAGCTCCATGGGACAAAGGGGTCCCACTGGTAGCCCCCCTGCACCTGGTTCCTGCACCCCCCAGGGATGCATTGGAAGCTACTTTTTTGTGCTGCAGGTGTGCAAGTTCCTTCACCTCTGATGAGCACGGAGTGGAATACCTGGGGTCCCAGCTGCGAGGCCGCATGGCTGACTGGTTTGTGGGTCTTTACAACATAGGAGGCTCTGAACTCTGAGATGTGGATGCATTCATGAGGGCCCTCCACCAGAAGTATGAGGACCCACTCAAGATGGATCAGGCCAGAACCCGCCTTTGGGGATTGAAACAGGAACCAACCCATCAGAGCATTCTTGGACAATGAGCCTGCATTGCGGGGAGGGCGGGATATAAATGTGATTAATAAATAAATAAAGTTCAAGACCTACACAGCTAAATTGTAAGGCTGGCCAGAGGAAGTGCTGATAGAGTTCTACTGGGTTGGCCTGAACCATGCCATCCTGGACAAAGCCCTGACCCAGGAGAACCCAGTCACTCTCAATGGCTGGATTCAGGTGGCGTGTGAGGCTGAGAATCATTGCAATCTTCTGAAGATGTATTATCCCAAACCTCCCACAGGGCCACCAACAGTTCAAGGAGCTGGCTGGGAGGCCAGGGCACAGTGCGGTCGGGCCCCAGGGAGAGGGAGTGACAGGGAACACCAGATGCAGCAAGGCTTGTGTTTGAAGTGCGAGCCCCCCAGGCACTTCACTGTTGACTGCCCTCATGAACAGAGCCCAGAGCCAGCAAAGAAGGGAGAGGGCAATAGAAAAGAAGCTCTTGAAATAATCCTTGTTGAAATATTTTTTTCCTGTGTACTTGGCATCAGTGGAAAAAAAGGGGAGGCTCTGAGGTGTATTTGTGAATTTAAATGAAACATGTTTTCTGGATCAAGTAGGCCCTCCCCAGGTACAATCAAATCAGTGGCCACAAACCTAGCCAAAATGTCACTACAAGAGATGCAGGCCATGCTGTTAATAAAGCAATAGAAAATGCAATTCCCCAAGCTGTGAACAGTGCAGTCCCATTGGTCGTTGAGCCTTTACAAGCAAAATTTGATGCTTTGGACCTACAGGTGACTTCCCAAACCAAGGAATATAAGCTATAGATTCTTGAGAACACTCAACAAATCTCCACATTGAATCAGACTACCACCCAGTTGCAAGACAAATCTGAAGAGGTAGATCAAAAAATTCAGGATATGAAAAGTAAACAAGATCTTCTGGAAGACTCAGTAACAAGATTGGAATTGGATAAAGCTGCATATGTGTTAAGATTCCAAAATATTCCAGAAAAGAAAGGTGAAGATGTCAAAGAAGAAATGACAAAATTACTAGCAGCATACCTAGAAGAAGACAGTACTCAGGATATCTCTGATGAGATAGATGTTGCTTATAGAATGAACTCCGCATATGCAAGAAGAAACAAAGTACCCAGAGAGATCCATGTAAGATTTCACAAGAAGGTCATGAAAGATACTATCCTAAAAAACTCTAATAAGAATCCATTATCTGTGCAGGAGACAGAAGTTAAAATTTTAAAGGAGATTCCATGGAGAGTAAGAGAGAAAAGAAGGAGCTACAATCAACTTGCAAGACTACTAAGAGAAAATGGAATAACTTATAGATGGCTGTTTCCTGAATGTGTCCTCTTCACTTATGAAGGGAAAAGATTTAGGATAAATTCAACATTCAAAATAGAGGACTTTTTAAAAAAACACATGGATTTGGAAGCTCAAGAAGAAGAGGAAGAAGAACAAGAGGAGGAGGAAGAAATAAATGAAGAAGTAGACCAACAGGCTCAAGAAGCAACAGGACCAAAAATAAGAGTTAACAGGAAAAAACCTAAGACAGTACCACGCCAAATGACAAGACTTCAGGACAAAAACAAAAATGGAACCAAAAAAGATACCAAAGATGGATAGGGAGGAAGATAAAAATAATTTCCATAAATGTCAATGGCCTGAATGCCCCACAAAAAAGAAAACAAGCCTTTCAGCAAAAAGCCAAAAGAATTGGAAAACCCTTTGTGTCTGTGGACAAACAGAAGAAAAAGAGAGAGGTTGTTACTTATGTAAAAGAACATTTACATCCAGAAATGATCTATGATTCAGAAGATGGAAGAGTAGTGATAGTAAAGATACAGAGACAAGCAAAGCTACTTTGGCCCTGTTCACGTGGAGGATTTGCTGCGCTAAAGGCACGAATGTCAGGTGGTTTTTCAGGGCGTGATCACACTGCAACATCTGGGAAGTGTAGCGCACCCATGGCGTCCCACCGAAGATGCACAGTAAAAAAGTACCTTGGAAAGTGCACTAGTATCCAGAAAACGCGGGGCAGGGGTGGGCATTTGATCGCGGGAGCGCTAGTATCCTGTGGCATCCAGTGCCCATCCATGTCCCGTTGCAAACCGGATGTTTTTCGTAAGTGCATGCGCACAAACATGTAACTGTAAGCAGTGTTGCTCCGCGGAACTGCGCATGCGCACAAACGCAAAATGCATGCCGCGCCACTTCTTTACCATGCTCTGGCATTGCCATGTGATCGCCAGCTAACAGCCTAAGCGTGAAGCCTTGGGGGACCGTGTGATCGGGCTACCGCACTTTATTTTGCTCCGGGGCGAACAGCCACACCTCCCCCACGTGTTATCTGGCCCGTGTGACCAGGGCCTTTGATAGTCAATATCTATGCTCCAAACCAGCAACAGGAAATTTTTTACAAAGATCTACAAGAGACTCTACAAGAGTGTCATGAGAGTGATTGAGTCCAGGACTTGACACAGAGAGCCAAACTATAAGAGTATCTTTCGTAACAAACCTCCTTTCATAGTGTGGTAAGAGCAAACTTCTTCTGTGACTTTTCTTTTTATTACCTAGTTGGTATAAGAGAGTTGCTAAACTGACCCTAATTAATTTGGGTGGAAACCGTCACTTTTGCCTAACCTTATGGATCCTGCTCCCTTCCTTCCAACCCCAAGCATGCAGAGAACAAGAGTTCATATCACGAACTAGAACCTAAGGACCATTCAACACACATCAAGCATTATCATTTGTTTTATTTTGAAAACACACCCCAACTTTTAAATATCAGATCCCTCCCCAGAATTGCCACTTGGTTCTGTTGTGGAACTCCACCCACCCCTTTATACAATCTGGCTGACTTAGAGATTGGAATCCCACTCCTCGCACTGCTTTGGTTTCCATCAAACACACAGGGAGGTTAACAAGTGCAGATTCACAGCTTCAGTCAAGAATTCTTGGAGGAGCGGATCCATCAGTTTACCAAAAAAGAAACAGAGTCCTCTCCCTGCACCACTGATGCTACATAATGGGTGAGCTGCCCTATTTCAAGAGTCCCAAGCGTACAACAGCATTCCTGTAGAAATGAACATTTTAAATCAAAGTGTCTCCCATTGATTTAATCCAGGGATTTCCAGGTGTTACTCCTAAAGAACCTAGAAGGCCGGTGTCCTTAGTGACACTCCCACTCCTACTGGGAGGCAATTTCCGGAGAGTTTTTACAGTTTAAGATGATGTCCCAGCAATCGATCTCAAAGGTCCAGCATGTCCTTTCATTTACTGGTAAAACTCAATGAGTTAACAAAAATGGATCACAAACACAAAATTAAGAGAGGAGACTTGTTGGAGGCTACTGTCTCCCCCTTGCTTCCCCCCGAGTCTAAGACAACATTTCAAGAGTCACCATGTAGCACCCCACCTGAGTGATAGTTAAATGCCTATTAAGCACCCATTCCTCTGGCTTGCAAGAGGTGGTATCCCAGTGTCCACATGACACAGTAGTTCATGCCCACCAGGAAGTCTGGGCTACCACCTATATAGCAGGATAACAGGATGCAAACCAGGCAGCACCTGAACAAGAATGTTGAGTCACATTTCACTAGAGCCTCTAGAAACTAGTGACAAGAAGGTCCATTAGAGAACACTAACTAGAAATGGTTGCCATCAAGGCAGCAGAACTGGATCTAGATGGCTTGTTCACTAGACATACTGTTTTTTGGATGTGCTGCTGCTTGGCCGACTGGACTGTCTTTCCTGAGAGACGTGGACTTCAGGGCCTTGTGTTGCAAATACATCGGGGGGCTTCCTCCCATCTTGTAAGGCCAAGGTTTCTTCAGTGTTGAAATTGGCCCAGTTCTGCTCACTGGACAGCTTGTTGTAGGCCTGGTAGGGTGGGTTATGCCTCTCAGCCATTGGGAGGTAGAAGTAGGACTTGTCCTGATATGGCCTGTTGGGCATTTCACAAAGTTTGGTTGAGTAGCTATTGGCATCGCAGGGTTGCGGAGGAGCAGACAAAGAATAGCAGTCTCCTTCCTTCATGGTGTTGAGTAGGTTCTTGCCACAGAGGTGGAAGAGCTCTATAAGGTTGAGGACAAGGGAGATTAGGCCCACCACAAGCATAAAGATGATGAAGATGGTCTTTTCAGTGGGGCGGGAGACAAAACAATCCACCAGGTGCGGGCATGGGTACCCCTCACACACAAAACGTGAGTTCATAATGAGGCCATACAGGTACCACTGGCCAACCAGAAAACCAGCCTCAAAGATGCTCTTGAACACCACACTGATGGTATAAGTCCACATCAGAGGCCCACGGATTCTAATCCTTCCGTCCTCCGCTACAGAGATCTTGGCCATCTTCTTCTCGATCACCACCAGGGCATCTGCCACCTTGTAATCCTTGGATTGCAGAGCCCGTAGCTCACTTTCCCGCTCCTTCAGCTTCTCCTCTCTCCTAGAGAGGTAGATGACGTGCCCCAAGTAGACCAAGGTGGGTGTGCTGACAAAAAGGAACTGAAGCACCCAGTAACGGACATGGGAAATGGGGAAAGCATTGTCATAACAGACATTGGTGCAGCCAGGCTGCTTGGTGTTGCACACAAAGTCTGACTGCTCATCTCCCCAGACAGATTCCCCAGCAAGGCCCAGGATCAGAATACGGAAAATGAAGAGGACTGTCAGCCAAATCTTCCCAATGACTGTTGAGTGCTCCTGCACCTGGTCCAGTAACTTCTCCAGGAAGCCCCAGTCACCCATCTTCTGCTAGCAAGAGCAAAGAGACAAGAGGACAAGAGTCATTCCTTCCTGAAAACCTGTTATCTATATGGTAACTTGGGATATGGAATGGTTATGGTATAGCCCGATCTCGTTAGGTCTTGGGAACTATGCAGGGTCAGGACTTGGATGGGAGACCACCACAGAAGCCTCTGCTGAGGAAGGCCATGCCCAACCACCTCACTTGCCTTGAAAGCCATTTGCTGGCGTCACCGTAAGTAGATTGTGACTTGACAGCACACACTCTGTCAAATATCATAGTGATGGAGTCTCCATCACCCATTACCTGAGCAGCTCATGACCCAAAGTGAAGGAGGGGCAGAAGAAGGGACTAGGGAGAGGCAGAAAAGAAGTAGGGGGACTGGAAGAGAAAAGCTGGTAGAGGAATATCGATGAAAGAAGAGAGCTGTACATGACTGGGAACTGCAGAGGTGAAGAGAAGGCAGAAGTTCAGAATAGTGTAGTGTTTAGAGATAGTGTGGTTTAGTTGTTAGAATGTTGTAGAATCTGGGAGAATCGTGTTCAAATCTCCCACACTGTCGTGAACTTCGCTAGGTGGCTCTGGGAGATCCACTGCCTCTAAACCTCGCCTACCCCACAGATGGTTGAGAGGATAAAATGAGGCGGGGGGGGGGGGGGGAAAACCCCATTAACCACCT